AGGAATGCCCTGGTCATTGGTGGTCGCTATGGGCTGGGCCAATCCCAGAGCAATCCTGGGACCACAGGAGTCCTGAGGAAATACATCCCCCTGGGGAGTGAATTCACATCTCCCTGAACTTAACGCGGGCCTCATCTGGGACCACTTCGGGGAACTGCAGAGGCAGAGCTGCAGCATCACCCTCCAAGAGGTAACCCTCGGTGCCAGCCCTCCACACAAGTATGGGAGGGCAAGGCAGTTCCACACCCCAGAGGACGGGGGTCCCTGGGCTCAGCTGGCTGGACTGGAAGGAGAGCTTGGTGCTCAGTTTCCCCATCTGTGCAGTGATGGTGTGGTAAACGCTGCACCTGAAGAAGCCCATGAAATCCTGAGTCAGAGATTCTTAATTCGTATGTGTTAGTAAAGCTTACGACCATTCGTATGTGTTAGTAAAATCTGCAAAAGTAAGGTACTTTAACTACAAACGGTGAAGACTGCTGTCTTCCCATTCTTTTATCTCATCTGTTAGCGTTGATGCAACTGTGGTACTTTTAGGATCCAAGGAGAAGTTGGGTTAGAGACACGTACATTAATTGCGGCTCAGTGGGACATAGTTATGTGGTTTGCAGTTGGTTTCATGTATAGTGAAGTTAACCGCCAGCCATTCTGGTTTAGAAATAGTTTCCAAAATACTCCTACCATGCGCTGTGCCAACTCATCTGACATTGTGACACAGAGGTGTAGGCAGAGGCTGTGCTGTAATACAAGAACAATACGGTAGAGGAAGATAAACAAGGTCTGAAACATACAGACCGAAACTAGCCTGTGGAAAATTCGCCCAAACAGACACGTGAAATCCTAAGTGGAAAATACAATCTTGTTGAAATATGATCAAAACAGAAATTGTCTCCTGAAAGAGATGCTTTCAATCATGCCTTAAATGCTTTTTTTCCTTTGTTTGATGGGAATTTCAAGAAATAGAAGTTATCATATTCCTGTACTACAAGCAGGTAGCACATCTAGATAGCTCAGAGAGGAGAGAAACTGGTTAGAGGTTGTAGCAGATTTTATTTTTCTAGAGATGGTTGCAACAATGCCTCCTGGCCTCATGCTCTTACCCCTCCCTCATCAAGAGGTGGACACAGATTCCCTTTCTCTTGGATCTTTTGGGCTGGAGCCGCTAACTAATAGGATGTGAGGAACTTGACGCTGCTTGACTCTGTGGTTAGGTAACAAAAGGCGATGTAGCTCCTCCTCGACGGCTGGAAAACTCCCACTGAGAGTCACCATGACAGATGTCCAAGTCCCTGAGGTTCCGTGCTGTGAGGAAGCCAGGCCATGTGGAGAGGTCAAGAGTCCTCATCCCCAAGTCCTCCCAGACCAGGGCACTGGGATGCATAAGCCTTCAGGTGATTCCAGCCCAGCTATTGAGTCACCCCCAGCCTGTGCCCTTTCTGAATTTTTGACCCACGGAAACTATGAGCCTAATAAAGGGGTTACTGTGTTATGCCATTAAGTTTGGGGTGGTCTGTTACACAGCCATAGTAACTAAATCAGAGCTTTTCTCAAATTTGCTATAACAATCCTAAAGTTTTACATAGCATTGTCAATGAAGAGCTGTGAAGCAGAAGGAAACTACAAATAATTAACTATTACTAACTATCAATAATTTAAAAAACCAAATTTCATTCATCCAGGCTGGGGGAAGTTTTCTTTCTATTTGAGCTAAAGAAAATGATTTTACAAAATTTTCCTCACATCACATGAAGGGTTAATACTATCGAGGTGCCTCATCATTGCTGCTGTTGACCTTGATCACCTTGCTGAGATAATGTTTGTCTATCTTCTCTATTGTAATTTACTTTATTCCCACTTTTCATACTGTCCTTTTTGGAACTAAGTCACTAAGCATAGCCCGCACTTAAGAAGTGGGAGTTATATTCCATCTCCTTTAGAGGGGAGTATCTATATAAATCATTTGGAATTCTTCTGCATTGAAGATTGATTTGCCTCTCTCCCTCACTGACTTATTTAATTCAATCATTTATTTACACCTGTGTGAACTTATGGATATTTATTTATGCTTTGGGTTATAAATACTATGTTAGTTATTTTGTTGCTCAAATTTATATGTATATGTAATATATATTAAAAATATGACAGGGGCTTCCCTGATGGCGCAGTAGTTGAGAGTCCGCCTGCTGATGCAGGGGACACGGGGTCGTGCCCTGGTCCGGGAAGATCCCACATGCCATGGAGCGGCTGGACCCGTGAGCCATGGCCGCTGAGCCTGCGCGTCCGGAGTCTGTGCTCCGCAACGGGAGAGGCCACAACAGGGAGAGGCCCGCGTACCGAAAAAGAAAAAAAATTACATATGTATATATAAACCTGTGTGTATACAATATATATTATATATTAATATATATTAATCCATGTATGTACACATATCCATAATTATTTCTACATGTATCTATCAGTATCTATATTAAGTTAAACATAAGTTCATACTCATAGAGTCTCTAGCTCTAACCCAGTACCTTGTGCTTCATTCTTGTCATCTGGGATTTTTAAAAAAATGAATTAATAATTAAAAATCTAACAACAACAAACATAAAACTCAAGACCCAGATTGTTTGATGGCAAGTCTTACCAAGAATTCAAGGAATAGACACGATTTTAAAAGTGTATTTGAAAGGCACCAAGAAAGACTAAAAGCAAAGAAACCCAAAAAAACAGGAAAGACGTTCCTAGATAGAAAGACTCCATATCTAAAGGTGTCAGTTCTTTCCAAAAATAACCTATACATTTAATGACATTCCAGATGAAATCCCAGAAGGGTTTTCAATGAAATTTGACAAGCTGGATCTAAAATATATATATAGAAGGTCAAAAAACAATAAAAGTCAAGACAATTCTAAAGAAGAACAGGAAGGGGATTTGCTTTACTATAAATTAATTAATAGCTGAGTCTTGGTGCAGGAGTAGACAACTGGACAAATACAACAGATTATGGAGCCAAGAAACAGATCCACACATATTTGGAAAATTGTTAGATGAGAAAATTGGCAGTGCAGATCAGAGGGGACAGAACTATTCATTAAATGGTGCTGGCAAAAACATAATTTAGGTCTTATATTTAAAAGTAAAGAGTTTGATATTTACAACATCAGAATAAAAAGGGATTTCTTAAACAAGAAACAAAACCCACAGACCATAAAGGAAAACAATCATATACTCAATTACATTAAAATGTAATTAAAATACAAAACTTCTTTTTAATAAACGACACCTGTCAAATTTGAAAAAATAAGCTACAGACTGAGGGAAGATATTTGCAATACATTTAGTCAAAAAAGTATTGGAATCAAAAAATATCTTTATACATTAACAAATCAGTCAGAAAAAAACAAAGAACTGAATAGAGAAAATGGGCAGAGTATATAAACAGGCACATCACAGAAGAGCGAACGAGAATAGCCAAGAAAAACACAAAAAATACGTTCAACTTCACTAGTATTCAGGGAAATGCAAATTAAATTCACAGCAAGATACTGCTTCATACACAGCAGATTTGCAAACATTCAAAAATCCTGCAAGATTTTTAAGTGATGAAGTAAATTAAGCATTTTTCCTTCTCCCCTTGGAAGTCTTCCAAAAGCAACATGAGGAAATAATGACAGAAACACAAACTCCACCTCTGATAAAACTAAAAGACATTTGAATCCCAACCCACAAAATATCTGGAAGGACTGCCAAAAGTAATGAAGATCAAGCAGTAGGGGCAGGTAGAGAAGCAAGGATGCAGGCGATGCCTGAGCTCAGAGACAGTTCAGAGTGTACATACCAAGGTGCAGAACACACCCTGAATTGCAGAGCCAAAATAAGGAATGGGGTGCATGGGCTTGTGGCAGGAAATTCCC